CTGACGGGCTGTGGTCCATGGGGAGGTCACGAAGAGCCGGATACGACTTAGCGACTGAACCACAACAGCAAACCTAACTGGGATCACAAAGTTAAACCGATTCGAACCAAGTTAAGTTGGATCCAATTTTGTTGTAACGGTTTTGCAAGTTTTGTAAAACAAGTTTTGCTGAATTTTCAGTCCAGGTCGTACAATCTCCCAAAACAGCAGGAGGCCGAGGACAAACTAAGGATTCAAGTTCTCATTTTTTTTTAAAAAAAAAAGCACCATTATTATATCTCCCTCATAGCTCAAGGCACTTGGCAAATCTTTTTATTTACCGTGTTTCCTTCCTCTCCCACTTCTCCAGGGTCAGGGGGAAGAGAAATTCTGGAAAGATTCCGGTGTCCCTAAACCCTCAGTTGTTCACTCAAGGACACCTCGGGAAATTAAAGGACTCGGTCTGATGCGAAACGGGGCCGCTTGTTCTCATGCCAAGGCAAGATAGAGGCAGCTGGGCAGACGTGTCTCAGAGATGTGACGGAAAAGAGCAGTCGGCCAAGGCTGCTTTTCACAGATGTGGAGAGAAGACAACGTCCTTTGTCTGCTCACCGAAGAGCAATGATAATTTTCCAGCTTTGGTCAAATCCAAGAGCCAAACTTTTAACAGCAAATATTTGAATTAAGCAAAGAATAAACCACAACTGCTACGTAAGACATTTCATGGTCCTTTTTTTATTTTGTGGGTGTACGAGTAGTCCTCGACTTAAGACCACAACTGACCCCCCCCCCCATTTTCAAGACAGTTGTTAAGTGAGCCATGGTGGTGCAGCGGTTAGAATGGAGTATTCAGGCTTCTTCTGCTGACTTGCCAGCTGCCTGCAGTTTGGCAGTTCAAATCTCACCAGGTTCAAGGTTGACTCAGCCTTCCCTCCTTCGGAGGTCGGTAAAATGAGGAGCCAGATTGTTGGGGGTAATAGAGGCTGACTCTGTAAACTGCTTAGAAAGGGCTGAAAAGCACTGTGAAGCAGTATGTAAGTAAGTGCTATTGCAGGCTAACTCTGCCCACTGCCAGTAGTTCAATCCTGACCGGCTCAAGGCCGACTCAGCCTTCCATCCTTCCAAGGTCGATTAAATGAGGACCTAGATTGTTGGGGGCAAGAGGCTGACTGTAAACTGTTTAGAGAGGGCTGAAAAGTACTGTGAAGGTGGTATATAACTCTAAGTGCTATGGCTATTGTTATCATCTCTCTCCCTTTCTCCCCTATCTTCTGCCTATCTACAATCTCTCTTTCCCCCCACTCCTCCCTAAGAGCCATGGTGAAACAGTAGTTAGAATGCAATATTACAGGCTAACTCTGCCCACTGTTGGGAGTTCAATCCTGACTGGCTCCAGGTTAACTTGGTCTTCCATCCTTCTGAGGTCGGTAAAATGAGGACCCCCAATTGCTGAGGGCAAGATGCTGACTCTGTAAACCGCCTAGAGAGGGTTGCAAGGCACTATGAAGCGGTATATTAGTCTTAGTGCTCTTGCTCTTGCAGGCTGCCTGCTGCCAGCAGTTCGATCCTGACCGAATCAAAATTGACTCAGCCTTCCATCGTTCCAGGTCGATAATGCAATCAATCCTAAGTTGTATTAACAGAAGGATACAATCAAGGGAAATACTAATACCACTCTATAAAGCCTTAGTAAGACCACACCTAGAGTACTGCATCCAGTTTTGGTCACCACATTATAAAAAAGATGTTGAGATCTAGAAAAAGTACAGAGAAGAGCAACCAGGATGATTAGGGGACTGGAGACTAAAACATACAACGAACGGTTGCAGGAACTGGGCTTGGCTAGTCTAGTAAAGAGAAGGACCAGGGGAGACATGATAGTGGTCTTCCAATATTTGAGGGGCTGCCATAGAGAGGAGGAAGGGGTCAAGCTATTTTCCAAAGCACCCAAAGGCCAGACAAGGAATAATGGATGGAAGCTGAACAAGGAGACATTTAACCTGGAAATAAGGAGAAATTTTCCGACAGGGAGAACAATCAACCAATGGAACAGCTTGCCCTCGGAAGTTGTGGGAGCGCCTTTACTTGGACTTTCAAGAAGAGATTGGATTGCCATTTGTCAGAAATGGTGTAGGGTCTCCGGCTTGGGCGGGGGGGGGGGGGGGGTGGACTAGATGACCAAAAGGTCCCTTCCCACTCTGATTATCTGTTATCTTATCTGATAAAACGAGGGCCCAGATTCTTGGGGGGCAATACTGCTGACTCTGTAAACCACTTAGAGAGGGCTGTAAAGCGGTATATAAGTCTAGCTGCTATTGCTGTTTTACAACCTTTTTTTGCCACAATTGTTAAGCAAATCACTGCAGTTGTTCCATGAATCATGCAGTCATTATAAGCGAATCTGGCTTCCCTCGTTGACTTGGGGTTTATCGGAAGCCAGCCGGGAAGTTTATACAAGATCAAATGACCCGCGGGACAGTGCAACTGTCATAAGTACATGCCAAATGCCGTGTGTCCAAATTTTGATCACCTGATCATGGGGAAACTGGTCATAGATGCAAAGTAATTTTTTTTTCCAGTGCTGTTCCCTAAACGAATGCTTATAAGTTGAGAACTTCCTATACGATACGGCGAATCCTGGAGGTGTATTCTGAAAAAACTAAAGCCCCTCTTCTGACAACCTGCCAGAACAGCAGGATAAAATAAAATTTAAAAAAAAAACAGAAATAATTACACAATACTCCCATCGGCCAAAAATTTAGCGTGAAAATTAGGGGGTCGGGATCAATGTCCTTGTGTACACTGAGTGTGCCTGTACGTGTGCACAGACATGCACGCACAAGCCAAAGGAGAGGGGAGGGCAACGCACGACATTCCACACGTGGGATTACAATTCCCATATTATTATTTTTCCCCCCCGGTCGTTGGCCACACTGGATGAGTTACTGGGGAGTTGGAAGATCCACAATCCTGGGATGGCTACGGGTTCTCTGCACCTGTAAAACCAGGGACTAGCCATCGATACCTTCTAAAGCTTCTTAGGTTTCCTTTTGAATGTAATTAATTCATAAATATTTAGTGCCTTTCCTGATTTAATGAGCCTTGTTTTGACAAAGGAAGAGCTTAAGTGGAAAAAGAAATACTGTTATAGCAAATACCAAATTGGGAAGGGAAAAAAAAACAAAAGAAAAGAATACCCCACCCACCTTTGATTGCATCTAAAATTACTGTGAAAGATTTTAAATGAGAGCCACTGTCATCCTTTCATGTTATTACGCCCTTCCGTGACAGGGCCCGAACGGTTCATATGATGGAAATGGAGTGCCCCCTACTGTCAAGAATTGATGAAAGCAGTGTGGGCTTTATCCCAATTCTATAAAATGGCTAAGGAAGACCAAATAAAAGAATCAAGATTACAGAATTAGTCCAGTTCTGGCCAGTTGAAAGTAGCCTTTTCTGCATTGCATTTAAGCTACTGAAGATGTTCTGATTTTAAGCTTAAATTTGGCTGCTCCCTTAAAAGCATGTTTATAACTATATGCCTATTACTTCATGTATCCTGGTGTATTTATCGTCTCCCGAGTGTTATACCTTAAACAGAAATACCCATTTGTAAATGGTAATGTTTAAAAACTGTAAACATTTGGGTGAAAATGGCTTGCGCTCTTTTAATCAATAAAATGAATACGGAATTGACAAAAAGAAAAAAAAAAGTTAAGAGAATAGAAAATAAATGGGCTAGAAGGGAACTTGGAGGTCTTCTAGTCCAACCCTGTTTGAATAGGAGACCCTATATACCATTTCAGACAAATGACTGCCCAGTCTCTTCTTAAAAACTTCCAGTGTTGGAGCATTCACAATTTCTGGAGGCAAGTCGCTCCACGGATTAATTGTTCTCACTGTCATGAAATTTCTCCTTAGTTCTAGGTTGATTCCAGTGGTGGGATTCAACTTTTTTTTACTATCGGTTCTGTGGCTTGGTGGGCCTGGCGTGGCTTGGTAGGTGTGGCAGGGGAAGGATACTGCAAAATCCCCATTCCCTCCCCACCCCACTAACCTGCTTTCCAGCTCTGCTCTCCTGTTCTCCCACCCCACTAACCTGCTTTCCAGCTCTGTTCTCCTGTTCTCCCACCCCACTAACCTGCTTTCCAGCTCTGTTCTCCTGTTCTCCCATCCACTAACCTGCTTTCCTGCTCTGTTCTCCTGTTCTCCCACCCTACTAACCTGCTTTCTAGCTCTGTTCTCCTGTTCTCCCATCCACTAACCTGCTTTCTAGCTCTGTTCTCCCACCCCACTAACCTGCTTTCCAGCTCTCTTCTCTGTTCTCCTGCAGGGCAACCAAAGGAGACCCAGCCGATCAGCTGGGACTCAATGGGAGGCAGAGAATAGATGGGGGCGGGGCCAGTCAGAGGTGGGATTGGCCGGTTCTCCAAACTGCTCAAAATTTCCACTACCGGTTCTCCAGAACTGGCCAGAACCTGCTAAATCCCACCTCTGGTTGATTCTCTCCTTGATTAGCTACCATCTATTTTTTCTTGTCCTGCCTTCGGGGGTTTTGGAGAATAGGTTATCCTCCTCTTCTCTGTGACAGGCCTCCCAAATCTTGGAAGATTGCTATTCAGTCACCCCTAGTTTCTTCTCTTTGTTAGACTAGACCAGGGGTGTCAAACTCAAGGTCCATGGCCTGCATCCATCCCACAGGATGCTTAGATCTGGCCCGCCCTGGAAGCAGTGAAGGACCGGATCACGGTGCCTCTGCCAGTGAAAACGGAGCTTGGGAGGGCCACATTTGGACCTCCCGGGCTTCGTTTTCCGCTGCGACGGCTTCCTGCAGCCCTCTGCCAGCGTAAACGGAGCTCGGGAGGGCCGAGACATAGTCTCAGTGTGCCCCAGAGTGAAAAATATCTGCCTCTATCTAGGATCTCACAGCCTCCAGATGGTGAGCGAAAGCTCCGCCTCTAGGCTGACCGCACCACTGCGCCTTGCCAACACGTCTCCCTCGAATAATCAAGACGTCTTACCGGCTGTGTATTTATTGGGGCTCTTTCCAAAACGGTCGTCGACTAAAATAAGTGCTCCCCAATCGCTTCGGTGGCGAATGCATCTGGAACAGAAGAACACATCATCAAAAAAAAAAACCAAAACCCCTCCACGATCAGCTTTTCTTAAAACTTTCAGGAAAGGAAGAGAATCGGATGTCCCAAAGGAGTTTGTTTGTTTTTTCAAGAGGCAACTGGACTTTGTGGATTTTCTTTTTAAGACGTTTCGCTTCTCCTCCAAGAAGCTTCTTCAGCTCTGACCGGATGGTGGGGAACGGAAGGATTTTATATTCCTTGCAGACAGCTGGTCATTTGCATCCTTTTTAGAGAGTCGTTGAGGCCACTTGGAGGTTTGTCTCTGTCCTCAGGGTCACCTGAGTGGTGCAAATGGGTGTGGAGCCTTCTTAGAGCTTCCTGAAAGGATTGTGTTGTATACTGGAGATAGATGACATTATATCCCTCTCTCTCTGTTGACAAAGAGGGGTGTTGAATTTTGACATAGATGGCCTCTTTGACCCCTCTTTTAAACCAGGCCCTGAGGGCACAGATCCTTCCAGGTACCCTCAACGACTCGCTAAAATGAATGCAAAGGACCAGCTGTCTGCAAGGAATGTAATTCCTTCCATTCCCCACCGTCCAGTCAGAGCTGAAAAAGCTTCTTGGATGAGAAGTGAAACGTCTTCAAGGAAAAAAACCCAAGAAAGTCCAGTTGCCTCTCGAAAAAGCACCTTTGGTACAACTGTGATCTGGATGACTGAGAATCTCCACAGACAAGAGAATCGGACACTGGCTTCGGGTCTGGTTTCAGATGCCGATAGTCCTCAACTTACAACCTGCAACCAAAGTTATAATAGCACTGAAAAAAGCGACTTAGGACCATTTTCAAACTTACGACTGTTGCAGCATCCCCGTGGTCACATGATCAAAATTGGAAAGCTTCGCAACTAATTCGTATTTAAGGTTGACTCAGCCTTCCATACTTCCGAGGTGGGTAGAACGATTGCTGAGGCAAGATGCTGACTCTGTAAAACCGCTTAGAGAGGGCTGCAAAGCACTATGAAGCGGTATATAAGTCTAAAGTGCTATTGCTCTTGCAGGCCAACTCTGCCCACTGTCAGCAGTTCGATCCTGACCCGCTCAAGGTTGACTCAGCCTTCCATCCTTCCAAGGTCGGTTAAAATGAGGGCACAGATTGTTGGGGGCAACAGGCTGACTCTGTAAACCACTTAAAGAGTGCTGCAAAGCGGTATATAAGTCTTAAGTACTATTGCTCTTTTACAGCCCTATTTTGGCCACAATTGTTAAGCGAATCAATGCAGTTGTTCAGTGAGTCATGCAAAACACCACAGAGTGGTATATAAGTCTAAGTGCTATTGCTAAAACCAAAGTTCTAAAATGATAGCAGTGTTTGCTTTAAGGAATGGTCAGCAGAGCTCAAAGAAAGACTTTGAGGATGGAGAGCCAAAGGAATAACCTTCACTGAATAGTTTCGCTCACCTGCCGAGGGCTTGGTTCAGAGCTCTGTAGGCCTGGATTTCATACCATTGGCTTCCTGTCAGAAGTCCCCTGGCTTTTGAGTGTTGATCGTTGTATTTCCTTTTCAGTTCCACCTGGAGAAATTACAGTAAAGTTCTCTGCAAAGGATTGATTGTAACAGAATTCATTTTTTCCCAGCAATACCTGAAAATGGAGAAAAATGGCACCTCCCTGATGGCAATCCATCTTGGTTGGACTAAATTACAGGTAGTTCTCGACTTACGCCCAGGGGTGGGATTCTACAGGTTCGCACCTATTCGCTAGAACCGGTTGTTAACATTCTAAGCAGTTCGGAGAATTGGTTGTTAGAAGAAATTACTGGACTAATCCTGTAAGGAAGGCAGGAAGGAAACATTCTGGGGTTGCTTACAGAAACTGCCTCTCCATTAACCCTTATTACATTCTTGGCAGGACTAGACTTTCTGTCTCAGGAACTTCTCTGGAGTTTTTTCCCCTCTCCTTTGTTGGTACTTTGCTTGTGTGGAGTGACCATTCAAAGTTACAATGGCACTGACAAAAGTGACTTATGGCCATTTTTCACACTTACAACTATTGCAGCATCCCCAGTCACGAGAGGCCAGGTGAGGAGATGTGTCCCTCGATGTGAGTGATGTTGAGTTAGACACGCCCAGCCAGTCACATGGCCACCAAGCCACACCCATCAACTAAGCCATGCCCACAGAACCGGTTGTTAAAAAAATTGAATCCCACTCCTGCTTATAACCATTCATTTACTGAGCATTCGAAGTTATGAAGCTGCTGAAAATAAGAGACCCGAGACCAGTCAAGGCACTGATGAGTATTGTAGCATCGCCCGGTCACATGACCAAAATGTGGTTGCTTAGCAACAGGCATGTATTTATTTTATTCATTAAACCAATGTATAGAGGCGGTTCTCAGTACATGACCACAAATGAGTCCAAAATTTCGGCTGCTAAGCAAGACAATTACCTAAGTGAGTTTTTGTTGTGGTTAGCCAGCAGCAGGTGTGGACGGCTGTGGAGAGCAAGGACTCAGATGAGGGGCCAAGACCTAAATTAGGGAGTGGACTGCTGCCTTCATAGATTGTGGGAGCTGTTAGCAGCGATGAGGAGGTACCCGAGGAACCTGTGCCAAGTGTGTGCAGGGTTGCTTGCAGGAAAGAGGAGCTGCAACAGCACGGGTGACTCGGGAGTAAGGCTGCAAAGTAATGGCCCCTCCTTCAAGAAGATAAAAGCCAGCTGTGAATCGGACGTTCTTTGCAGGAAGCAAAGACGTTTTGAAACTCCAGCCTCATGGACATTGCAGTATCTCAAGCTGGTATTTGAAGACTCTTGTGTTATAAAATATTTCTTATCTGTTATTCTTGGCAACCTCGCACAGTTTTGGCGAGGCTCGTGCTTATCAAAGTGAATTAGTTTGCAGTAGCCTTTTAACCGGGGATTCGTAAGAATCATTAAAAGGTTTCTGTTCCCTTTGGTTTGTGTTTGTTTTATTGGAAAAGGATTTGGGTCAGAACAGTCTTGCTCCATTTTACAAGCTTTCTTGCCTCCGTTGTTTAGTGAATCACCAAAGTTGTTAAATTAGTCACACGGTTGTTAAGTGAATCTGGCTTCCCCATTGACTTAGCTTATCGGAAAGTTGCAAAAAGGGAATTACATCCATTACAGCATTCCCATGGTCACGTGATTTACATTCAGATGCTTGACAACTGACTCCCATTTATGATGGTTTGCAGTTCCCGGGGTCATATGATCACCATGGGGAAGCCAGATTCACTTAACACCTGGACCGCTAATTTAACAACTGCAGTCATTCACTTAACAAACGCGGCAAGAAAAATCATAGAACGGGGCAAAACTCCCTTCACAAATTTCTCATTTTAACAACATACATTTTGGTCTCAATTGTGGTCGTACGTTGAGGGCTACCTGTTTACACGTGTGCCATGTGAGCAGGGCACATACAATTCAATGGCCTTCTTCGTACCCTCACTTCGTACAGGGCACCGAACTGTATGCGCACAGGGTGTGTTCAGTTGCGAGCTTAGAACAAGTCACTTGTGTTTTTTTTTTAAATTTCTGCCGAGAAATTTTTCACGAACTGGAATTTTCCATTTTAGTAGCAATTCCTTAATAGCAAAAAAAAAAGAAAAAAGAAGAGGAGGGGGGGGTTGAGTGCAACAAATGGTAATTTAGAAAATGAGCTTATTTTATCGTGCAAACCTGTTGTTTTGAAAGGGAAGGCACCCAGCCACACAATGGAAGGTTAATTTCACTGCTCTTTTATTCGGTATTAACCTTTTAAAACTGACAACTGAAAGGACATGCTTCAAGAGAGAACACAGTCGACTCCTAACAGCTTCTGACAAGTAACTTTCAACTCTCGTTTAGGTAAAAGAGTCTTTTCTTTTCATGTTATTTTATGTGCCCGTGCCCTTTAAAACAACCTGTCAAATTCACAAATTCAAACTTCACAGGCAGAAAATAAATTCAGTTTGATCTCCTAGATCTAATATTGGGTTCTGTCACTCAGAATTTATGAACTCGGGCAAAAGGTTTTTTTTTTCCTCACAACTATGTTTGAAGTTTGTGGAGGGAACCTTTTCGTTTTATTTTATTATATTTTTTTTTATTGATCAGGTCGAGGTACCTCATCTAGAATAAGCCCAGAATAGATGGTGAACCAATTCTAATTCTGAATCCAATATAAAAATCTGCAAATCTTTCTTTTTTGGCGATCAACAATGCACTGGTAAAACAACATATCCAGATACAGGCAGTTGAGTTACAAATCATTTGTTTAGTGACTGCTGTAGCATGCCAACCAACACACGATCAGTATTTGGACGCGTGGGTATTGGCATGTATTTACAATGGTTGTAGAATCCCGGCGTCCTCGAATCACCATTTGCAACCTTCTCAGCTGGCTTCCAGCAAGCAAAATCAATGGGGAAATCTGGATTCACTTAAAACCACGGTTCACTTAACATCTGTGTCACACTTCCAAGTAATAGACCCATAGCAAGCGAAACTCCGAGGCAGGTAGATCCCTCAAAAGAACAGGTTTATGGGATATATCGTATTGGCACAGATCGGGAGAAAACTGATTCATCTAACCAGGATTCCTTCCACGTGTGGTTTTATTTTTAAATCTTCTCCGAGGGATGAACTAGGTTGCTAGTGCTTTTAGTGTCTGCCGGCAGGGGACATGAAGATTTTTGAGCCACAAACTCTAGTGCAGGGGGGGCGGTGGGGGGGAACCCACCACAACCTCAAAATCTCAGCCGCCACCCAACAGTGACGGAGGTTTGCCTGAGCTCTTCGGAGGGCAAGAGCAGGTAACAGAAAACAGATAATCAGAGTTGAAAGGGACCTTATAGGTCATCTAGTCCAACCCCTTGCCCAAACGGGAGACCCTACACCATTTCTGACAAATGGCGGTCCAATCTCTTCTTGAAAGCCTCCAATGATGAAGCTCCCACAACTTCCAAGGGCAGCTTCTGTTCCACGGGTTGATTGTTCTCCCTGTCAGAAAATTTCTCCTTATTTCTAGGCTGAATCTCTCCTAGATCAGTTTCCATCCGTTATTCCTTGTCTGGCCTTCGAGTGCCTTGGAGAATAGCTTGACCCCTTCGTCTCTGTGGCAGCCCCTCAAATATTGGAAGGCTCCTCCTTCCCTGCTCCTTCTCTTCCCTAGACTGGCCATGGCCAGTTCCTGCAACCGTTCTTCGTATGTTTTAGTCTCGTGTCCCCTCATCATCCTGGTTGCTCTTCTCTGTACTTTATTTCTAGAGTCTCAACAGGTTAGGAAGTCAGTTTAATGCTCCGGCATCCATTTCACCGAATCTCATTTCAACGATCGGACATCCTCTGGACCTGACAGGACGCATATGTGGGGAAGGCAGGCTCTCCGCTGGCCAGCGGGCCCGCCATCACGCCGTTTTAACCACGGGCTTGATGGGGATTAGCGAAAATGTCAAAAGACAGCAGCCCTTCCTGGCTACCTGTTCAGCCTTGAAAACATACTCCTAGCTATCGGGCGCAGTTGAAAGACAAAGAGATTCAGTGGGAGCGGCAGAAAGCCCGTGGCAAGCCACGTCGTCGTCTTGTCGCTGTCAGAGAGATGAAGCTTTGATCTATCTGGGAGGTCAGGGATACCTCCAATTGAGAGGCAGCCTCTTAATGGGCCCGTTTCCTGGAAGGCTGTGTTGGGCGGGCCTCGCCTGCTTTCCTCTCTCCCTTCCCCTCTCCCCCTCTTCATTCCCACAGCCTTCTGCCTGCTCTTCTAGCCCTGGTTGCATTTTGACGGAAAGGCGGAAGAGGAAGGAAGGAAAAGAGGAAAGAAGGAAAGGAAGAGGGGAAAGGGAAAGAAGGAGGGAAGATAAAAAATGGAACAGAAGGTGGGGAAGGAAGGAAGGGAGGAAAGAAGGAAGGAAGGAAGGAAAAAAGGAAGGAAGGAAGGAAGGAAGGAAGGAAGGAAGGAAGGAAGGAAGGAAGGAAGGAAGGAAAAGGAAGGGGGAAAGAAAGGATGGAAGGGAGCAAGAGAGGAAAGAAGGAAAAAATGAGAAAATGAAGGAAGGAGAAAAGAGAGAGGGAGCAAAAACGAGGAAACAAGGAAAGGAAGAAGGAAAAGGCAGGATGGAAGAAGGAAAGGTGAAGGAAGGAAACAGAAAAATGGGAGGGAGGGAGGGAGCAAGCAAGAGAGGAAGGAAAAATGAAGAAGGAAAGAAGGAGGTAAGAGGGCGGGAGGGAAAGAGGAAAGAAAGAGGTTAAAAAAGGATGGAAGGAGGAAAGACCAAAGAAGGAAAGAGAAAAGTGGAAGGGAGGGAGGGAGGAAGGAAGAAAGGAAAAAATGAAAAACAAAGGAAGGAGAAAGGAAGGGAGGGAGGGAGGAAGGAAGGAAAGAACGAAGGAAGGATTGTAAACCATCTTTGCCCTTCGCTTCTTGGACAATGAACATAAATGACACACCTCCTTTTCTGCGGATATTGTGCACAAAAAGATCCACTGTGCCAAGGGGAAGGAGAGAGGGTTCAGATCGATATTTCAAAATCCAAAGGAAAACGGGGAATCTGGAAGCGAACGTTCCACCC